GTAGTATTTTGGGTCAAGGCTGCTTAGTTGGGTTGTAGTAATGGTTCTTCCACCGGAGAGTTAGTGTGAGTGTCAATCACGACGATCTGGGTCGGTGTGAATGAATATTATCCTTATTGAGCTTTCATGCATCTTGGTAAGCATTATAGAGCTAGACAATGTTGACGACTTCATTTGATTTTCACACCTCATATATTTTCTATTGGCCATATTGCTGAAATTGTCGACATTTGATTTTGGAAGGTTCATCGGTTCTTCGTAGATGTTAACATTTGAATGATAAGTAGTTGGTGAAAGTCTTAGTTCATACAAAGTCAATATTTTTTATGTTAAGAATTGTCAGTTTGTTCCTACAATTGTAACATTTTGGACTTTTTTGCTATATTTGTTTTGCATGGTCCCTAGCTATAACATCTCTTGCACCCACTCCCACTTGCACCAACTCCACCAACCTCACTAACGAAATAATGTTTTTTTTTAACAAAGGACCAAATTCTCCACTATAAATAACCATTATATATGATCCCAAACACCATATTATCCCATTACTAAACCTTTCAACATTTCTTTTATCTAAAACCTCATTCCTCTCAAACTTAACTAAACAACATCCCATGGCTCCTGTTCCTCAACTTCCTACACCATCTGAAACAATAACTACCGATGCATCATCGGAAAACAACAACGTTACCATCACTGGAAAGATATACACAAGAGTCCGTCTGGCTACGAAATCTGATCTGTCTCATATATACCAATTGTTTTACCAAATCCATGAATACCATAACTACACTCATTTATACAAAGCTACCGAGTCCTCCTTAGCTAACTTGCTCTTTAAAGAAAATCCTCTTCCACTTTTTTACGGTCCATCCGTACTTCTACTTGAAGTCTCTCCAACCCCTTTTAACGAACCCAAAAATACCACAAATGAAGGGTTCAAGCCTGTCCTTAAAACGTTCGACCTTAAATTCCCTGTGGTGGAAGGACAAGTTGAGGAATTCAGATCCAAATATGATGATGGGAACGATAAGAGTGATGTTTACATCGCGGGATATGCTTTCTTTTACGCTAATTATTCGTGCTTTTATGACAAGCCTGGATTTTATTTTGAGAGTCTTTACTTCAGGGAGAGTTATAGAAAGTTGGGAATGGGGAGTTTGTTGTTTGGAACAGTTGCATCTATTGCTGCCAACAATGGATTCGTATCGGTAGAGGGAATAGTAGCAGTTTGGAATAAAAAGTCATATGATTTTTACATAAATATGGGAGTTGAAATTTTTGATGAATTCAGGTATGGAAAGTTGCATGGTGAAAATCTTCAAAAGTATGCTGATAACAAGGACAAAAACGGCGAAGGGAGCTGTTAGTAGAGAATGGCTTTTTGTGTGCTTAATTGTGCAATTTATTAATATCTATTTGTAATAATATTGTAAAACCAGAATGCTCATTATATTTGTAATTTGAAAATAAATAAATTGGTAATTGTGATATTATATTAAATCCCTGGGTTCAATGTTTTTAAACTTTATCATAAAGAATTATATCTTTCTATAAAACAAAAATGGCAAAGATGGTCTCTTATACTATTAAATGTTGAAAATCATTTTTTAAGTGATGAAGTCGATCTTATAACTAAACATGTTTGGATGGAAATGGTAAAACGACTAATAAGCAATTGTTGTATTTGATAAAAAATGTTGATAAATAGTCATATTCGTGGAATAACTAAAACACCTTAATTCAATAGTTTTGCAAAAACTTAAATTATCTTTGTTAAAAAGGAAAAAAAGAAAAGAAAAAAAAGAACGAATATAGAGTGAAGAGAATTAAGTTAAAGAAATTTTGTTTTGAAAAAGATATTTTGAAAATTAGAAAAATATTAAGGATAAAATAGTAAAATATTTGATAATGAAGGAGAGTCACTGCTTCCAAATCACTTTCTTTTACGGTCCAGGTACGTGGCAAGTGGCATACGTTATTAATTAACGATCTTGAATAGCAAATTGGTATATATCTTATTTTCATCTTTCAAGTTTTTCTAATTCACAAATTTTTAAATAGTAAAATAATCCTAGAATTTTTTTCAGAAATTTTACCAAAGAATATTTACATATTATCCTAATTCTAATTTTTACTTGTGATTCTTAGATGACGTTTTAAGAAAAATACTAAAAATTAATGAAATCACATTAATATGAAAAAAAAATCAATATGATAAGACGGTTTTACAAAGTCTAATTTTTATTACACAAAATAATATAACTAAAAATTTGTACAATTATAAATTGTAAAAAATAATTAACTAATTGAATCGTATTATAGATACTTCTACTAGGATTGTCGTTGTCTTAAAATATTCAACAAATTTGCGTGATCGACTTAATTTCCATTTACAGAAACACGTGTTTCCTGGATAATTATTGTATCCAACGTTTATTGTCATGACTAATCATATTTGTGCTAAACAAATTGACCAGAGGAATAATATCCAATGATGCATTAAATTAAAGTTTTCATTTTGGGCCTTATTGGAAGGATGAAATCAAATATAAGTTGCATCACATCTTGAGTGGTTACAAGTAAGGAAAAATTACCTAAACACAACATTTATTTTACTATATTTTTTAAAATCCTTATCATAAAAAAATTACAAAAATCTTTATTTTAAGTGACGTATCAGTTTGTTTTACGTGGTGTATCAAAACGTTGCTTTACGTGATGTATTAATTGGATACATTACTTTACGCGATATATCAGGACATACGTGATGTATCATGACGTTGAGTGATGTATTCGAAATCAAGACGCGATGTATCAGGGATGTTTTCAAAACCAGAACACAGTGTATCGTGATGTTTTTGAATGTATCTGGATTCCACCAAATTTAAGGAATTTTTGTAATTTGAAAAGGAGTAGAGAAAAGATGTAATTAGCTGTTAACACTATGAAATTTGTGTAAAATCTACAAAAGTTATTAACGATCTTGAGTAGAGAGTTATAAGATATTAGGAATATATTTTCTCCCGTGGTGCATCACTATTATTATCATTTTTCAAATTCACCTCCTTAATTTTAAATAGTAAAAAATAAAATCTAGAGAGTTTTTTTTTTAAAAAAATATCTAAAAAATATTTTTTTTAAAAATATACCGAACACTATTGAACCCACATCAATATTATAGAAAAATCGATATGATGAGACGATCTCACAAAGTCTAATTTTTATCATACAAAATAAAATAACCAAAAATTATATAATTTTTTGAAAAATTACAGATTAAACTGTACTATAGACACCCCAACTAGGATTGTCATTGTCTTAAAACATTCAACAAATTTGCGTGATGGACTTAATTTCCATTTAGCGAAACACATGTTTCATGAATTATTTGCGTGATCAACTTAATTTCCATTTACGGAATCATGGAAAATTCACGATAAAGATCATTTAAAAGGAAAATATTTTTTCTCTAAAGCATGTTCCACAATGTTAACGACTTGATTATTTGACTTTAATCTCAAGTCACATGTAATTCATAGAATTTTTATCCATATTGCTTAAATTGTCAACATTTTTTTTTGGATGAATCATCGGTTCCTTCGTAGATGTTAACATTTGTAGTTTGTACGATAAGAAGTTGATGAAAGTCAACATTTTTATGTTAAGAAATTGTCAGTTTGTTCCTACAGTGTTTATATAACATGTTTATGATATTTTGCATGGTCCTATAAACCCACTTGGTTCTTTTCTTTTTTAATTATTAAAGAGTAATTTCTCCGTCTAAATTTTTGTGCGTAGTTTAATTGGATAATGGACACGAAATTTAAGAAATAAGGGATGATTTTGCAATGTTTCGAATCTATTTCCTCAAGAAGGGTACCCTTCTATGGTTTTTTTTGCCAAATAAATGAAACTCAACATAACTAAAATAATGATAACATTATTTACTTTTACAATGCGTCATTTTCTTTTGGGGCTAACTAAAAATAATATAATATCATGTAAAAATTATGAGAAGAATAGTTGATACTATCAACTACATAAAAATTGGTGGCCAAATTTTGATGGATAACTCAAACCAATTGCATCAATGACTTAACTCTTTAGAACGCACTTTTGAATTGATGATTACCAGAATTTTTTATCGTTGGATAAATCATCTCCACCTCCTCTCCATTATGTTTTCTCCAAAATTTTGTCAAGTGCACATCTAAATGACAGTAAATTTTGTCTTTGAAATACTATGTGTTGAGAAATGAAAACAAAAAAAAGAAGTTAAGATTATCAATGTGAACCAAAACCTAAAAATAAAGAACAAGAAATAAAAAATAATTTTTAGAGATTATCAAAATTACAAATATAAAATATCAAAATTATCACAAGGTTAAAAGGAGAAAGTGTGGCTACATATGTATTTTGAAGGGGAAAATGAAAGAAGTGTGTTTTGAAGAATATTCTTTTATCTTCTACTTTTTTTTCGTGAAATAAAAGAAAATATTGTTTTACCTACAAATGTTTTGAAGGTTATTATTTGTCACGCCAAATAAAAATCTTGTTAGATTCATATTCTATAATTTTAAATGTGTTGTATTCCATCAAAAAGGTGGAACACGAGGGGACCGAACCTTACCTCCAAAATACATCACGTCAATCTCTCCTATAAAAGGCTAAAAACAGAAAATTAAACTCTCCATGTCTAGCTGGAAAATATACAAATTAATGGTATAAAAAATTGTAGGAAATATTTTGTTTTTACTAAATTTGAAAAGTAGTTTATTTAAAATTGGTTATGATACATTTTAATATAGTAATATAATTTTGACCTTTAAAATTTGAATAATTAAAATGCATGTCTTTTATCTAGACGTGTACTTATGGAATGGAGCTAGAGAAAATATAATAGAGGGGATCGGAGCAAATTCCAAATTTTAAAAAGGGTCAAATTCTTCATCACTATAAATAACCATTAAACACAATATCCCATTATTACTAAACCTTTCAACATTTCTTTTATCTTAAACCTCAATATTCCTCTCAAACTTAACTAAACAATATCCCATGGCTCCTGCTCCTCAACTTCCTACTCTATCTGAAACAATAATCACCGATGCATCATCGGAAAACAATAACGTTACCATCACTCGAAAGATATATACAAGAGTTCGTCTCGCTACAAAGTCTGATCTGTCTCATATATACCAATTGTTTTACCAAATACATGTATACCATAACTATACTCATTTATACAAAGCTACTGAGTCCTCCTTAGCTAACTTGCTCTTTAAGGAAAATCCTCTTCCACTTTTCTACGGGCCATCCATACTTATACTTGAAGTCTCTCCAACCCCTTTTAAAGAAGCCAAAAATACAACAAACGGAGGGTTCAAGCCTGTCCTTACAACGTTCGACCTTAAATTCCCTGTTGTGGAAGGACAAGTTGAGGAGTTCCGATCAAAATATGATGATAAGAGTGATGTTTACATCGCGGGATATGTTTTCTTTTACGCGAATTATTCATGCTTCAATGACAAGCCAGGATTATATTTGGAGAGTCTTTACTTAAGAGAAAGTTATAGAAAGTTGGGAATGGGGAAATTGTTGTTTGGAACAGTTTCATCCATTGCTGCCAACAATGGGTTCGTTTCGTTAGAGGAAATAGTAGCAGTTTGGAATAAGAAGGCATATGATCTTTACGTAAATATGGGGCTCGAAATATTTGATGAGTTTAGGTATGGGAAGTTGCATGGTGAAAATCTTCAAAAGTATGCTCATAAAAATGGAGGCAACTGATAGTTAATTAATTCCCCTACATATTGAAGGTGCAATTTATTATATTGTATTTGTAATTTTTTTTAAAGCAGAAGGCTCATCATATCAGTGTGTATTACATTTGTATTTGAAAATTTTAAATTGATTACTATCATAATAACATCATCTCTCTGATTTTTTTTTTTTTAAAAATTTGGATGCCTCCATGAATTATAATTCAATTTTTGAAACTGCAAGAAAATTTTTAAAAAATACTACAAAACTTATTCGTAATTTTATTCCTATATAATCTATATTAAGTGAGAAGAAAATTCTTAGGTATCCGTAAGATTATTTTGATCTACAATTTTTAATTAAATGATCAACAAGAGCGAAGATTAAAACTCATTTAATTTAAAGACAAAATTTGAAAATCACCAAATATAAAAACGATCCATGCAGAAACTTGCATTGACGCCTCTCTTACTTTGTCTTATATTGAATATATAACTGGTGGCAAGAATTTCATGCTTCACACGGTCCGATAATTATTTAGGAAGTTATTTTTTAAAGTAATTTTGATTAAATAATTTTAATTTTTTAATTCAAAATAAGTTATATATTTTTGTATATATGATAGTAAATCATCTCATTAAATGTGAAATGAATACTTACAAGGTTAATCTAAAATAAGTTATATATATGTATATACTAGATGGGGGAGGCCCGTGGCAAGCACGGGCCCAATAGTCAAACTATTATGCTTGTAAAAATATTAATACTAATGAATCAAGGGTGATACCTTTTGCAGAAGATGGATAATATCATATATTATATACTATTAGAAATATTTAGAATATGTACAACAGACATCAGTATGATGCCAACTTGAACGATCTGCAAATACTAACTAATGTAATACAACCAAAATAATGACCCTTACTTAGAAGAGTGATATAGCAGATGTTTCAGTTTTGATATATAAGATTAGCATGTCATTGTTTATCATATGTAGAGGATACAAATTGTGCAACAAGCTAAGAAATGTCTATTTTATAGTTTATACTTGGATCCATATGTGACTATTTAACACGTGTTTGCTCTTTAGTTCCTTATTTCTCTTCATCTTCTTTTGGGTAGCCCCATTTTGTATTCACAAATTTTTTTGGTGCTTCTCTCTCTTCTTCACTCTTTGCATGTATCATCTCTCTTCTTGTGTGCTTAAAGATTTTGGGGCGTGACACTTTCAAATGAAGTTGAGACGGTCCGCAACCCTATTGTCATTTCCTCTTAAACTATATATCTTGAATTTCACTTATTTAAAGGAAAAGTTGAACAAGAAATTTTTAAAGCAAAACCTATCCTACATGCATAATGACATAAAATGTGAAAACTTGTTCATAAAATATTATGTGTGTCAAAAATACAGATAATAACTCATTAAAAAAATGAATATTACTTAAATCATTTCCAAACATCATTAGTCTCCTATTGTATGATCATCCTCTCAATTCCACAATTGTAATTATGAATATGATAAAGTATGGTGTTTTGGTATCGTCTGCCAGTCTGCTAATAAATCAGAAGTTGCAATTCAAACAACACAAAAATAACAGAAGAAATTTAGATGATACTAAAAGCATAACTTCCACTACAAGAAAACATACTTATTGCTACGAAATTTAAGCTATGAATTTGAAAATCATAGCTATTACTTAGTAATAGCCATAACAATTCAAATTTCGTGGCTATCTAAAAAAATCATCAAATTTCTTAGCCACAAATATTAAGTTGACAAAGCTAAATCCTTATATTTGCTATAATTACTAACAATCGTGGCAATAATTATCAAAATAGCTACAATTTTACTGCTACAATCAAATTTAATAGCTATTATAACCTTTTTCCTATGCAATAAAAGTAATTGTAGCAATAGTAACATGTTAGCCATATTAAGTTATTTGAAACAAAATATTGTAGCTAAATAAATAATTTTGCTTCAAGTTATAAAAAGACGTGACAATAGTTAAATGAAATAGTCTTACACTTTTTGCTATAGTAAAATTTCGTAACTAATTATTATTTTTGCCTCAAATTTAAATCTACCATAGTAATAATAACCTTTTAGCCACAATAACTTATTTGAAGAAATATTTGTAGCTAAATAACTAATTTAGCTTCAAGTTATAAAATATTGTGGCAATAATTAAATGAAATAATCATAATTTTCGTCTATAACAAAATTTTATATCTAATTATTAACTTTTATCACGAGTTTGAAGTTATCGTAATAATAATAACCTTTTAGCCACAATAAATTATTTTAAAAAAATTATAGCTAAATACTTTTTTTTCTAGTTATAAAAGTTGTTGCATATGAAAAATATTATCATATATTTTTTGTTGTAGTAAAATTTTATAGTTAATTATTAAAAACCTTCAGGATCATGTTGAAACTTGTTGAAGCACTAGTAATAATTTAACCATAAGAAGTAATTTAAAATAAAATTTTATAACTAAATGAATATTATGTTTTGAGTATCAAAATAGTGTTGCCATAATTAACTTAATAGTTATAATTATTTCTCAAAACAAACTGATACAACAATGTGAGCACAATTGAAGTGATACATTTTATCTGAAAATTGAAGTGATACATAGTTATACTTATGTTGTGTTGAGAATTCATGTTATACGACTCGGATCTCTTCTATCGAACAATACATTTATCGAGCTAGCTTAATTAGAGATTTAATCTTTCAATTAATTTAATTTTACAAGATCTTAATTTTTAATTTATAAATATAATTTAAATAAATTGAAGTTATGAAAAATTTAGAAATTATGTCTAATTAATTTGATGTAATTGTACTTTTTTTATATAAAAAATATGTATAATCAATTTACACTTTATTAAATAGTGTCATATTTTATTCAAATATGCAACATGAATTATTTTGGAATCTAGATAGATAAATCAATTGTCAATTGTTAATTGAATATAATTAATACACAAAAAGTGATATTGACATTCAATTCTTTTTTAATTTTCTATTATTAGGAAAAAATAAACTATTTTTGAATTTATTATTTTAATCTTAACATCTTAATCCATATAATATTGTGTGTTTTAATCAAAACTATAAAATTACAATTCAAAATTCACATCTCTATTTAAATTCAAATTGAAATAATCAAATGTTGTGGAGGTATAATTCCATTATTAGTTGAACAATTTAACTTGAATTTGACTTCACATGTATAAAAAAATATAATTGAGTTTCTTTTCTTCTTTTGATAATTCTATTTTAAAATAATTTTCAAATTTGAATTGTATGGCAATTAACAATTGCCATCACAACATTGTTTTGCTTTCTCAATTCTATTAAATAGATTAAACATATTTTTTGATATTAACAATTTTATTTTATTTTAAAATATTATATTTTTAACTTGACATTCTAATGAGTATATCATTTAAAATTTTTATACAATATATAATAATAATAAAATACTAACTATAGTACTATAATATTAGATTTTAAGAAAGTAGAGTATAAGCAAACCTTTCTACAATATATGAGATCTGGAGATACTAGAGTGTACATTTACCCTTCTCTCAGATATAGAGAAAATTATTTTGAATCCATATAATTTTTTTATATTTTTAAAGCAAACTAAAAACAGTAATTGAAATTAAGAATGATCATAAATTTGATTAAACACTATTTTCTCTGTTCCATATTAGTTGTTTATTTTTCCCTAGACACGATCTTAAAAAATCATAATAAGAAGGATAAAAATAATAATAAATAAATAAATAACAAGGATAATTTTAATACTTTACCCAATAATTTTTTTTATCTGAAACTTTACAAACTTGCTTACACTTTTAAAAAGAATAAAATGTAAGGGAAATTGAGAAAATGTAATTAATTATATTTTGATTTCATAAATTGACAATTAATTTCGGACAACTATTTTTATTAATGTGTACAACTAATATGAGTTGATGGTCTCTCTAAAACAGTCTCTTTACCTTCACGAGATAGTGATAAAGTCTTGGTACACGCTATTTTTCTTAGAATTTACTTATGAGATTTCACTAGAGATATTATTATTGTTGTTATTGGACAACTAATATGAGACATATGAAGTATAAGTTAATAGTTTATTTTGAAAATGAGAGTAGATAACAAAGTTAAATAATTAATAAAGGACCAAGGAATATATATTTTAGAATAATATTTATTTCATATAAATAATTGATTTTTTCCATTGACTAAAAGCAAAGTATAAATTTGTTATTATTATTATTATTATTATTATTAT